CAGGCCGCATAGAAGTCAATTATATCAAAACGCCATAGATCATTTTGTTATTACAATTTATCTATGTTTGTTTGCGTTTCACTGTCTATTTATCTGTCAATGTGAACTAGAATTAATATCAGCCCATCGATAACTTTAATTGATTTTATGGCTGTAGATTACATACTGCTGAAGTGCCTATCTTGGCTATCTCGCAATTACGTCGCGTAAATAAATGGTAATTACAAGTGTCACAGTAATTGTATGAAAATATGCCGCTGCTATTCGGTTCAATACTTACATATATACATACTTATCCTGTTACGTCCATCGCATATTTTGCAGAATATTATTAAACTTATGACCAAGGTAACCTGGGGCTAAACAGCGATAAATGAATCGATATCACGGCGAACCGTGATACCGGATCGAGACATTAAATCGTATCAAGCGTACTACGCATTAATAAAAATTTCCGCAGATTTATCTCATAGACAGGTGCCGATTTAAACATAGAATATCGCGGCACGCATGGCAAAGCAACGGATGAGTAAGTTGCTTAATTTAGTTATAACTAAATGGATGCTGGGGAGCATTTCTATGATCGCTCGACCCAACCAGTTGAGAGTCCAATTACTGATAGTTCCAGATCTTGCAACCTAATCAAATTCAATGGAAAAATAGACCTGGGGCTACCCTTTCCATGGGTTGTTGTCGAAGGGATATTACGTGCCGGATGGTAATGACCCTCCCTATTGCTCCAACTTTGTTCTCACGTTGGCAGTGCGTAGTTGGCGATAGACTGAAGGGGACGCGTGTGTTTCAAAACGACGAAAAATCACGTACAGAGTTCGATACTTGACTCAGGTATGTTACGAAATGCATCGGTTTCTTTGAATACACAGCCTCACCGAAAGAAAGAGAAAAATCTTTGTCCAAGTAATTTCTCTCATTGTCAGAAGCGAATAGATTTAAAAAAAAAGGAGATTAAAACGATAAATTTTGATAAAGATATTTCTATTTCGTACATACGTTCGATTGATGTTATCTTGAAATAAATATGATAAAAATATGATAGAAATTGGACATTGTTGAAAACATAGCCAGGTCAACTAGTTCATCAGACGACTTTGTTGCACGTAACGATAAATCGATTTTCTCACGTGTTAGAATAATCCGATCACCGGATTTATTGGATAGAGAAAGGGTGGCGGAGTTCAAAGACGAATGTTTCACTGACCGGAGGTGTGCGTTTTTTATGAAACGAAGATGCGAAAACTCGCCGAGTCGCCGAGTAAATATACCACCGACATTGGCAGTATTCTCCTCCGATCCTTTGGCATCTATTCTCGGACGAATCCGTGGTGCATCTCGTTTTACCGACAGAAATAGCTGCCAGTATTTTACTCCAGCTAGCTAAGAAGATTTCATTAAATCACTTTCCTATTAGTTAATACGGAACTATCGATACTACTCGATTTTACTCGCGCGATAGCATTGTTGATGGCTATCGCCATCGTTAACTGTACACTCGTGAATTTACAATTATCGCAAACAATTAAGATTGGCCTGACTGTGATACCGAACTTGTTGGTTCTGCTGTAAATAGCGACATGTATGCGATAACTTGTTATCACCAAAGATTAAATGACCAAACGAATACGAGTCGAGTTAGTCGCGAACAGCCTGGTATAAGAATTTCTGTGTACAAGAATTATTTAGTCCTAACAGTGTCAGCTGTAATTCGATTATTATACGCCCACTTTCCAAGTAGTGTACGTGTTCCAAGTACAAAATATCCTAATAACACGTTTTAGTGCATTTGCGTTAAGCAGTCCAACTACGGAATCTGGATTGAACGACGCGAATTTGGAAATTATCATATATCGAGGATCATCCCAGGTGTATCGGAAGACCAGCGGAAGTGGGGACCGTATCTGTCTCGATATTTTTGAGTTTGCTGCGTGGATCCGCACGTGGTATGTTAAGTCACCTACAGAACAGGTACATCGGTTCATGCCGCGTATCGAGCTTCAAGGTGGCAAATAGCCCCCTAGCAAAGGGGGTGACAATCATTCTGGGATTAAAGATTTAAAATCCTTTGACTTTGCTCTCTCACCGGATTCGAAGTTGTCTTTAAACGAGCACGACAGAGCTACGTCTAAACTTTAAACGAGATTAGCCTCGATTGGAACGATACCAGAGCGATCGAATGTCCGGCGATCGCATACAAAGCTTGAATACCAATTTTCTTCGGTACGTGTTTACTCGACGTTGCGTTTCAGGAGACCACTGCGCAGAAAGAAGCCGTAACAAGCCACGTATTTTATTTAGCCAATGTTTCATTGAATCTAAAAAGAATCGAGCGTTTATGCAAAGACAGATGGGAAATACGGTCACTGTTCGACTGGTGGGACCATTTGCGCAAATCGTTTAACTAAGCTAGCCGTTCGGGTTAACTGTATTTCTATGTAATTATTATGCATCGAACGATAACGTTAATTGTACAAACTCAGTCGAGTGTAACGTAATTTTTATCTTTCTACGGTCTGGGGCAGATTGTCCCCTGTGCGTATTTCCCGATTGATGGAAAAATACAATTCCACTTGTTGCAACGACGATCGTTTAATAATCGTGTAATCCAAAATCTATGGTATTATCTTATCTAAATTAATTACCGCTCAACAAAGAATGATCGATAATTGATATCTTTGTAAACGAAGCTTCAAACAGTCAAACTTATTTACGTCGTCGAATTACGAAATAAGTAGAAATTGCAATTTGTGCAAGCATTCAATGGTAATGAAAGTCAACCTATCATATTTAAAATATGTAATCATACCTCTGTGCGCTGATCGACCGTGTTCCATATACGATTATACGTAAATGATAATTAATTTCAAGGCATGGAGTAATTAAAATATTTATGTGTCAACTAATAGATTCATTATAACATAACATTCTGATTTCAACATAAACTCTGTTACTCACTCGTTATATAAACCAAATGATTTGACGAGATATCGAGAAACTTTCAAATTGCAAACATCAAAAATATATAGAGACAAATTTCGTTCGAACGAAATTACCTGGAAATAGTGTTCAAACGGAATTACGTTCCGTGTTGCGAATAGAGACAAAATGACAGTGGGATGATTTAAAAGATGAATCCAGAAAACGAGCGAATGATCGAAAGAGGAAAATAAGAGGGAGAGTCACTCTGCGGATAATGGGTTGTAACTTTTTACAGTAGATATTTTATTCTCGAGGTGAACTTGCATGAAATTACTGAGATTTTATTACAGGAGAAGGTGTACTTTATTCCTATTGGCTTACAACTTACGGATCTAGTACCGCCTCTGCCAGTCGATTGAGAATCATTTATGTGTATCTATGTGTAAAAAGTATCGCGATCTCTTAACGCGTGGGTAATAAAGTCACGACAAAGTATATCATTGATCGATCGATTAACGTCAGACTAACGTCAGAGCGAGATAATAAATATTAAAAATTTATCATACAAATCGATCGTACCAATCGGCAATACCCGAGTTACAGCCAAAGCATTTAAAGGACGATAAAAAGGAAATCCTATCGATTTTCTGTCCAGCATTGCTTTATTTTTTATGTAACTTATATAGCTTACGTTACGCGGTGTCCTGAATAACGATACATTCGATATACGCCTATTCTTCTATACCTCTCGAACAATCCAGAGTCTCATTGAACGGTGGTTCGATCCATTGAATTGCATTAACCAGAAACGCAATGGGACATCGATAACAATAACAACGTTCACATAAATCAAAGTACAATTAATTCTCCTATAGGTCTACACGATTTTTCACGTTCCCGTTGTTTTCTGCTCTTATCTTTCTCGCTGTTTTTTTTTTTCTTTTTCAACGAGATCACGCAACGCAACTGCTGCACTTGTTCGTACTTGTTATTGCGCCACTATCACTTCATCTCGGATCGGCGATTTGTAATAAATTTGCTTAAGAAAGCGTAGAACGATGAAAGAACGCGTCAGATAATACGTGAAGGAATGCTTCGTGAAAAAGGTCAGCGTCGTCTATCACGGAAATCGTTCGCGGCTTAACACCTCCTACCGAATCCGGTTCGAAAGGATTCTTAGAAGAAACGAACGATTGTTATAATTCATTGTCGTATGCATTAGCGATCACCTCGTTTATCAGATCTAGCGATCAGGCTGCAGAGACCGGTAATTGTATTCAGTTTGTCGACCATTACAAATGGCAATGTTCATCGGAGGCCCGATCGAAAGATCACCGGATGATAGACGAGATGTCCATCGTAAACGCGTTTAGAAAGATAAACGAAAATCGGGTCAAGAACTCAAACTGAGCTTAATTTTGTTGTAAAGGTCTTCGAAATCGCAAGTTAGTATTTCTTTCTTTTTTTTCTTTTTAATTCTATTTTTTTAAATCCAGCATTGAAAGAGCATGGAAAGAGGACATGGAACGATACACGAGATTCAGAAACTGAAAACTCATTGAATGACGTCCATGCCACCTAAGGCATTGATACGGTTGTTCTCGCTGGCCTTTGGCGATCATTTAGATGATTGATAGTTCCGTGACTGGTCTAAAGTATTTATTTTTTACAATACTACAATTCAATGGATACTACAATGGATTGTACAATTCGTGGGTAAATAACCTTAGTCTACGAAACCGGTTCCTTTGTGATAGATTTCTTTTGTCTCGCCTAGACAAACCGGTGTCCAGATATTTCTCAACGCAAAAATCGAGAGCATGCGACAATCTACAGCTACATCGAAAGTTTGAACGAACGCTTGCGCTGACCTTTGATTGGTATTACGATCGGTAAAAACGACGACAAAGGGAGAAAAAGAAACGAAGGAGCGATGTGAACATGTGAATCGACTTTCAATTTCGAAAGACGGTATTAAAGTTCAAGTTATTCGATATCTATACCTGCATTGGCAACTGATACATAAGCCCCTCACTTTGTATTTAAGTAGAACGCCGATGCTTTCGATTCTACGTTTTACCTCGAACGTTTCGATTCGTATCGCGGCAGAGCCGGCGCGAGATAAATAGCCAGTGATTTTCCGAAATAAATACATATTCGAGTGCTTAAACGATTTTCAGTGTCACACGCGTCTGTCAATACGCGGGACGAAAGAAGTCGATTTATTGGCAAACGTTGTCTGATTATTTTTTGATTCTATCGATCACCGTTTATGTACACTGAACTTGAGTTAAACACTTTGCGCTCGAGCGGAAGAGGCGCTCGGTTCGCCAACGCAAATACTGAAAGATTTCAAGCGTGGAAACTAATTGGAACTTTCTGTACGCATGAAATTGTTTTATTTCCGTGTCACGTTGCAATATGTACACGAACGATTTTATTGCGTACCGTGGCAGTTTCGAGGATAACCGAGTTAGTTAATACCATTCATTCTTGTACAGGATCCTAACGTGCGCCAGGGTCTTACGCTAAGTAATTGGCGCAAGTAGTAATTTCGCTCTTTTTTTAGATTTCTATTAAACGCCGATTGCGTGTCTCAGGCGAACCTGGATGGACTGTGCTTACGTTCTTTTCTCGTTTTTTTTTTTTTTTTTTTTTTTTTTTTTTTTTTCGAGAGTCATTTGCATTAAGAGATAACGACGAAGTTTGTCCAACAATATCTCACATATTGGACCCCGGCACTGCTCCGTCCATGGTGAATTACACGCGATACAGACACCAATGATAATCATAGTCGACTCGAAAGAGGAACTCGAGGAACGCGACTAATTATTGTCGGGAAAAACGGAAAGACGCGCGAAAGATGATCGAATGTGTACGTGAGCGTTATGTAAAATATCCTTTCCAATTTGTAAAAGATGCATATCGATTCCGCTTGAAAAATCATCGTTTCCGTGTAAAAAACAGTCGATTGCCTGAGCGAAAAATCATTCGAATAACAGAAAAATAGTGGAAATATAAGATCGAGGTAATCGTTATTGATTATCTATCAAATGCCGATGTTTCCAATCGCTAAATATCCTAAATTGCATATCTGTCTGTCCTTGAACCTGTAAGAATGGCTTTTGTCCGTACTGAGCGTATATAAGACTGACGACGTCCTATCACAAAGCGCAGTGTTAGATTACCACCTCGACGTCAACAACGAGCTTCGTGTTATTAACAAACTCGCCGGTGTCTCTTACATTCAGTGATCAATGAACAATCGTGATCGTCTCGAAACGATATCATCGCCGAAATTTTGACAAAACCGGTTACGAACGTCCACGTATACGAATATTCGCCATGGAAAACGTACAAGTGCCTACGAACTTGGCCAATTCTGCTCTTATCGACGCTGGCAAGAGTCAGACCAACTTCGCGAAAGATGTGCCGAAAACGATCAAGTACACGGTAAGCTGGCGAAAATATTTTTCGTTTGGGGTTTTCACAATAGTCGATTACAATTAATTTTATCAGAAAGATAATATTTTCGTTGCACTCGACCTGAGTGGATAATCCGTCAGAATTAGAAGAGTGCGAAATTAATAAATGTAAAATCTTTTTATCGTCACGTAAGAAAAGCCATGGGTATAAATATCGCGTCTTCGACATATATATATATATGTTTAATAATTTTGCCTATGCACACTTGAAATATTAATAATTAAATTCATCAAAATCATCTTAATTGAAATGAATGATTCACGGAACCGAAGAAATGTACAATACATTTGTGTGTAATGACAGAGTAACATTATCGATGAATCCCTACTTTAATATTCTGTTCAGATAATGGAACGAATTCCTTTACAGCGAGCCAGACATAATCGTGACACTCGAAATCAAAATATACTTGCTACTCTTCGCTTGTGTTTGCTGTCGCGAATCATCGCATCGAAGCAGATTAATTATAATCCGGTCCTCGACAACATTGGCCATTGATGATCGAGTTGAAGCATTGCGCAAATGGGAACACTTCGTGAATTGCTATACAGGCCGATGTAATGGGCCACGTTAATTGTCGCGTGTGAAAGCGTTAATTCAATTCCCGTTGTCGCGAAAACAATGAATTGTTATTGTCCCGGTTGCATTAAGTTACATTTACTTATATATGCATTGTTGCACCATATGCAGAATGTTGTTGTGCAGAATTCGTGCAGTTAAATATGCTACTTTGCCCTAGCAACGTTCCAGCTGCCAACTATCGACAAGAGTAATCGAACGATTTACACGAACAAAACGGATTTGCGACTCTCGTAAATTTTGTTACTTCATTGCCTGTTTCAGCTGGCTGATTCAGCGAACAACGAAAGAATTGAAATGGACTATCATATTCAAACAGTCACTAAAGATGATAAACTCAGGATACTCAAATTTCTTCGGAGATTCTTCTTCAGAGACGAACCGCTTAATCATTCGATCGAATTGATACCAGAGAGCGAAGACAGCACTTGCCTCGAATTGGAAGAATATTGTAGCATGTCTTCCCTTGAAAATAATCTCAGTCTCATGGCGGTCTCAACAAACGGTGCTATAGTGGGCGTAATGTTAAATGGTAAGAATTTGATTTATAGGTTGTTTTCACTATTCATTGAGCTATTTACGCGAAAGCTGCTAGTGCCACGATTGTGTTTGCTTAGATCCTGATATATCTGGGTTAACAACACGATCGCGTACTAAGAACATTCTATTCTCAGCGGAAAACAATTTGATGCTACGAGTTAAGAAGTTCTACGAATACAAAATCGTGACGAATAATTATTAGTCGAGCTTATGTGTCAAAGTGAATCTAGGATAATAGGATGAGTAGATACTTTAAAATAGTGTGCAAAATATTCGTTCATAATTTTTGTAGGCCGGCATCTTATCTTTTTTTTCATTTTCTAAATATTTACTATTATTAATTTTATCTACTATTCAACAATATCAGATCAGTACTGGAGATAAAAATTAAATAGCTATGTGTCAAAAGATATATTGATCATATTTATAAATTGCTGTACAAGCAATTATAGCGTTTAAATCAATTAAATTTTAAAAAAATGAGAAGAATGAGAAGCAGACACACCTACCAGAAAACGGTACTAGTTAACGTTATATAAATCGTTATGCGAGTATCAGGCAAGCGTGAGACTTATTAATTGCTACCGGTTGTTGCAATCGCAGTAATGACATTATTTTTCCACTTAAACACATGTTATTCAGATTAGGAACTAAAAATATATAAAAAATATTATCGTGTAGACTTGTTAGAGACTGATTCTTTTTTTGTTAATGCGCAACATTTTGGATTATTAAGTTCTTCGATCAATTTACTGGCAGTTACAATTAAATTCTTTGAATAAATTTTTTCGTGGACAAAGATCTAATTGTGAAGCTTGATTTCTTAGATCAGCGGATGAAAAAAAAAAGATTAGCGTGAATAAAAAAACGATTTTGTGTTGAATGTAAAGATAATTATCGTTTTAATTGCAAAACGGATGTTAAAAAAATTATCTTCAAAAGATGTAAATTTAAGACTGAATTACAGTAACGCTTTTTATCAATATGAAATACTTTGTTCATTAATGATATTTAAATTGCAAGTCAATCAAAATTTTTAATTTTCATTTTCATAAAGCTAAATTTATAGTAAATTTGAATTAATTTGTAAAGGGATATTGGAAGTATTATGCGCAATAAAAAATCCAGTTTTATAAAAAAACCAAAGTATCCGGTAATGATAATCGTGATCTGATATTTATGCAACAATGTTATCGATATGTTGCAATAAATTAAGCAATTACTGTGTAAATTAAACTTAAGCACATAAAGCGTACGCGAGTATAATCAGAATTATGCTTATTAAATGCAGGAAAAATGGATCCTCCGAGCGATGAAGAACCAGAATACATAACTACATGTGAAAATCCAAAATTCAAAAAAATTCTTAGGCTACTGAATTATGTGGATCGTAATGTAAACCGCGAAGGAAAATTTCGGGGATTGAATATTTTGGAAATCAGAATAATTTCCGTAGATTCTAACTGGAGAGGTAAAGGGATTGCCAAAGCGCTTCTGGAAAAATCACTGTGAGTCTCACTTTCGTAATTAAATCACAATCTTATCTTACTAATTAATGTAATGTAACTTTGATATATTACAAATATATAGAGATAATTAAGTACATATAAGTAACTTACAAAAATTTGTAGGGAAATTGGAAAGGAGAAAGGTTTTCACATTACACGTGTTGATTGTTCATCCTTTTTTTCTGGGAAACTCTGCGCACGATTGGGTTTCGAACGGATATATGAACTCAATTATACAGATTATGTGGATGAGGAAGGTAATCCTGTATTTTCCCCCGCATTTCCACATACAGCAATTGTCACGTACATTAAGAAATTATAAAAAGCGACACGATATGCATATAAAATCGAGAGTACCTGTTTAAAGTCGTGGATAATTTTAAAAACGCACTCTACATTTTTTTTGTAAGAGTTGAATACATTGTACATTTTTTTTTTAAATGTTTATTTTACTTATTTATTACTTTTCTATAAATCAGTGTTATACGGATTCATTTGTATTATTATAATTATTTCATTGTGACGCTATTGAAATGGATTGTGCCAAAATATCAGCAATAATAAGTTTTATTGAGTATAATGTTAATCAATTCGAACTATAAACGATTATTGCATTAATGTACGTAAAAGTTATGTTTTCTTACTGTTTAATATGTTTATTGTTATCACTTAATATGTTTATTAATTATATTAAGATATATATGAATTTGTTATTATTCTGTTGTAATGAATTTATACACGAAAATAAAAATAATATGATTTGTATATAGGTATAACTTATATATAATAAGCAATTTTTTCGTATATAAATAAAACGTCTTTTATTTATTTAAAATATAATCTATTTTATCTAAAAAAATTAATTTTATAATGTACAATCTATTGCGTATTTTGTACATACAAAATTACAAATGTATAATTACATAAAAGAAAATTCCTAAAAATTTTTCTATATCATAATATATACATCCAAGTAAATCCACTTTCTCTATGTGTTATTTATCATCTTTAAACTCTTCTGCCATAAGTTTTTCAAATATTTCTAATTTTTCTTTAAATGTTTTATTTTCATACCTTTTTAGACTATTTTCGTATTCTACTAAAATCTTATTGCTCTTCCTTAGTGCTGCTTCTCTATTAACTTTAGACCATATTATAACACGTACTACTTGAAGTGATAATCCTATGATCAAAAGAAAGAAAACAAATATAATTGCTCTTTTTTTATTTTTTTCAGAATGTTTTCTTATACTTGTTGAATACTGCATGTCATATGCATAACGATGGTAACGATTATTATATCTGAAAATAAATATAATTATAATAATTCTTAAAAATAATTTTTGAAAGCAATTTTTAAAATAAATATAGTTCTTTTAAAAACTATACCTAGTCCTCTGGTAATCATAGTTTTCATGAACATTATCATTTTTTAAATCAATATCATAATAATGCCTACTCTGTTTGTTACTTAATACCGTATAAGCTGCATTTATTTTTACGAAATCATCATGATTTCCTTTATTACCACTATCAGGATGCATCTAGAATGTTAACATACTTAAAATACTATAAAATCAAACATGATTAGAAAAATATCAAATATATATTTGATAAAAATGATTTACCTGTTTTGATAATTTGATATAAGCATCTTTTATTTCCTTTTGAGTTGCATTCGAGGAAACATGCAATATTTCGTAATAATTGTATTTACGTCTTTAAAAAACATATTTAATATTAAATGATATATGTATACATCATACGACGAAACGCACTGTTTTTAGATTCTAACCTTTGTTGACTATAATTTCTAGAGAAAATGTGAATTAATACAGGTATTTCAGATTTATACACACGAGAAATTTGTGCCATACTCTGGAAATCTTTCGTCTATATATTCGAAAATCAATTTATATATTAATTTAAATATGATCACATACTAAAACACTATTTTGATTCTGTGATAGTACTAAACTCGAATCAGTTATAACAATAACATTATATCGATAACTTCAGAATTGATATAATATTGATATTATATTAATAATATCAATATTTTATAAAAACTGTAATTGCAATTTTTTATCAATTCCAATTTAACTTTTCCTATACACATCAAAAATAAAAAAACAAATTTTTTAATAGCACTATTCCATTTTCGACTAACTTCTTGTTTTGACAACACGGCATGGCGCTCGACTTCGCTTTTTTCAAATTAATTTTTCAAATATAAATTTTTAAAAACATATCTGTGTTGTTAATATTCTTAATGATAGGTTTTATTATTGAAACATAATTTCTAAAATGAAAACAAGACTAAAAAATTCATGAATTAAATATTTATTAAAAATCAAACTCAGATTTCATAATATAATAACAATTCTCATTTAGGTTTGGTATATGGTATAAAATATATTACAATATGTATACAGCAAAGGTCCTTAATTATATAAGATAGGCCTCAAGCCCAGCTCGATGTCTATGCATTTCAGGCTTATCATATATTATGTAATTTATACAATGTTTGTTATGCGTTTTGTGTAAGCTCTAGTATTATTAAAAAATTATTGTGTAATTTATGTAATTTATATTGCATATTTTATATACAAGTTGTACGTTACGACAATGAATCATAATGCAAGCCTTTATTAATAGAGATGCAAGATTAACTAATAATATAAAAATTCTACTTACAATTTATAAAAATTGACATATTACATAGGTTTTGTCTAAACATTGGCTTGCCATTGTAAATAATACTTTGAGAATCAAGTGCATTGGCACAAATAACTTTTATTTTTGTTGCATATCAGTTAAATCTATTTTATATGATTTAAATGTATTAGATAAGAAACATATATTCAGTTTGCTAAAGAGTCGCAATGTAGTACATCAGTACAGTCATTCTAATAAAATCTCTTATTAAAATAACGATTAAAATTTTTAATTTCAATCAAAATATATAAAAATTTTTAATTCATCGCGCGCGCGTGTTCTATGCATTTTTATTCTCTCTATGTTTATATCTTTAGTTTAATTTTTAAGAAGATCGTAAACGTATTCAAAATTTTCTGTAATATTTGTTTATGAATATTTATATACGGTCTTCTTAAAATTCAATATATATATATATATGTATAGTCAATAGAACTCACTTTTTGTCTCATAATATGAGATAATTTTAGTTTGTGAGAATTAAATTCATCATTTGCTTGTAATAAAATATACATGTGTTTATGAAGTTTTTTACTGTTTCTAACAATTGAAATATGAAGGCAAGTTATTTTTTGTTTTAAGCAATCTGAATGTTCTCAAGATCACTACACATTCAAAGTACATTTACTCGTTCCTGTTTTCTTGTAAAGGGACGTGTGGATACTTCGGGAAGTCTACAGCATCTACTGGATTTTTAACTTTAAAACTGGGAAATAATCCTGTCATACTAGTTCTAGTATTGTATCCTTTAGAATAACCATCCCAATGATTTCCAAAAACTTCAATTAAATCTCCAACTTTTAATTCAATTTCACCTTCCTTTCTTGGCTTGTGATCTAGAATAGCCTGATGAGGATGTGGATTTTGACCTCCATAATAGTAAATATCATCTAATGACGCAAAACGATTGTAAGCGTCTGGATAATAAGTTTGCATTAATTCATATGCTACACGGCACACTTGAGAACTGAATGTGCACACCAAATAATCACATTCAGATAGGAGATGTATGTCGATAATTATTCCTTGTAAGGAAGAATCAGAATATCGCTTTGCAACTGAAGCTGTCTCTGCTATTTCCGGATCTCCTATTATCTCGTAATTCGAATAACGATTTCTTGCCGTTGTGATCACTTTCGGATCGTCACTCGCTAGAAAAACTCTTCTCACTTCTGGTTTTGGTTCAAGTTCGTCAAAATATTGTTCAACTTTAACCATATATTCATCTATATCGTGATAAGCAGCTTCAGTACCAACTTTATCTGTTCTCCGTACATGAATTCCAACAATAGGTTTCTTGAAACCTAGCCTTTCCTTGGCATCATTTAATGTTTTTTTCACATGTTCTTGAGGTCGCATTAAATACTTTAAAACTTGTCCTACCCACCAGACTAAAGGATGTCCATGAAGTTTTTCTAATCTTGCAGCTAAGTCAGCTGGTACACTTGGGGGTTGAAACCTTGGTTTTGGATAAACATTATCTACAATTGGCAATGAGATGACTTGTTTAGAAGAGTCACCAGGCCAATTAGCATGTGATGCTCCAATTGGAGATACACAGGTCTCACTAAGAGGTTTAAAGACTGATTCCCAACCATCTTTGTGATATCTCCAACCTTTAGATCTAATTATCAATGTTCGTTCTGTACCATAAGCAACTAAGAAACAATATGTAATATGATGAATCTGAAATATATAAAATTTCATTTATAATAATTTATATAAAATCTTATATTTTATTTAAAATAATTTTTACTTACTTGACATCCAAATCCGCAACCTTTATTCAAACTACAAATCAACTTTCTTGCTTTGTTGCAATCATTAGGATTCTGTAAATACCTGAATCTTCTTTGTACAAGATCAGACAATTCTTTTGCTTCTTTTTTACGCCATTCATCATAACCATCTGCTTTTATTAATCTATCAATGTCTATTATGAGAGATCTTTTATGATCCCAAACATTTTTTAATGTATCCTGTATTTTTTTTTCCCTCTGTTCATAACTAAGTTTATCAATAGTTTTTCTAAGTTTACTTAACTCTGCATTAATATAATACCTGGTTAAAACATTAGAGTATTATTTTTATTCCTTCATATTCGATGATAAACTATATCTTAGACATTATACTTACCATGTCTCTTGAATATTATTTCTTATCCTTCTTCTTAATTCTTCATATTCAGAAGAAGGGACCCCATACTTAATATTATCTTGATGATCCAATATATCATCATATAGAGAAACTTTTTCAAGTTTTTCTTGTATCGAACCTAAATGATCTCCTTGAATAGATTTTGATCTTTCTCTGGAAATTATGTTATCCTGTACAACGAAAAGATCACAATGCTCTTTGTTTTATACTTTAAATAAATCTGTCTGTCTTTATAAATTTCTGTTATAAACTTACCCTAAAACTATATTTTTTAATGCTTCATTTTGTCTCTTCAAGATTTCAAAATCATTAACCATTTGGGCTAAACGTTGAGCATTCTCTTTGTTTGTAGGACTTTCATTATTGGATGATAAATTATTAGCTTTATAGATATGTGATACTGATATTATTAGTACCAAAAGCCACGTAGCTAACAATGCTATTCCTACTTTTCCTAACCAACCAGGTCTTCCTGACCAAAATGTTGCCATTTTATATTGTGGTAATGAGATTACGTCATCTATAAATGTAAAATTATCTTTATCTCTAACACTCTTTTAATGAAAAATTATATGATATAGCGAGTATGTAACAAATATAGTATTAACAATTATATGTGATTTCTCTTCTAAGCAATTAAGAAATATAACAATATAAATTATTTTCAATGACATTAATCAGTAATACATACTAAAACAGTACATAACGAAACAAAATTTAAAAAGAAAGGTAAAATATAATACAAAGTATATTATTAAATTGTTAGAAATTGACATCGATATATTTTTATATATACACGAATATTTTATATATGCGATGTTGACGAATTAAATAAAAAAAGCAATTTTACCGCATGCATTTTTATAAAAATATTTCAAGCATGAGGTAAAAAATATTCGTCATCGTCAACGTAATCATAGAAATAAATTCTTTATATCAAATTATAGAGTTTACTTTCGCGTAAAATTACAATCACTGAGCACTGTTCTGTTTGGCAAGTGACAAGCGTAGGCAAGCGTGAGTTACAATTCTTATGCATATTATGAGGAGTTTGCACTGAAATATAATCAAGTACTCTAACCAATAATCACATTGGTTTTACAGTGTCCAAATACGATTCTAACGAATAAGACTAATGCCGCGATTGTTTGTTTGTTTAATAAATCAATTAATAATTGTGCATACAAAATATTTCACACGTATTACACATACATTTTCAAATTATCTTCTAAATGTAGATGATTAATTGATTAATACTTAAGAAATTGATGACATAATAAGATATCGCCAAGTACGAACAATTAATTTTAAAGCATGACTTTTGTATCAGATGGCGGTAAGGATGCCACGTTTGAGCCTAGCATGAAACATCGCTATCTATTCGTTCCATGCACGATTTTGTCGTATAACCTAGAATCTTGACACTTTTAAGTACAGCAACGTTGTGCAAATGTGAAACGGACGATTAACGCCGAACAAAGTCTACAGACTTTCATTTAAACGTTGTTTTCGGTGTTGTTGACGGATCGATTGCCAAAGTGAAAGTTGGGAAAATTAAGTCGGTGAGCCGCGTACGCGAAAAACATGAAATTGACAGAAATAACGTATTAGTTTGGTATCGTGTCGCGGTATTTCTAAACGCGGGTTGGTTCTCTATCCCCCCCCCCCCCTCTCTCTTCTTTCTTCCGTCTGCCTGCTGAATCCCTTCCGAAAATCGCGCAGCATCCTTGCGCGCGAAACACGCGTACGCCGGTGGACGCACATCGTGTGCCTGTACTTCGATGTACATACCTGTGAATAGTGTATTTTAAGCTTTAGTTTTACGGAATGAGTGTGTAAAAAATCGGAGCGTGCACGGTAATCGCGAAAAGATCAAACATTGTAGAACGAAATGAACGATGTTTGTTAATTGATTTCGACTATAATCAATATAGTAACTGAAACAAAGCTCTGCAACGTAAATCGTGGAAAGTAGTACCTCCATTACCTGACGTTCCAGGTAAAAAAGGACTTGTCCACAACGACAACGACAAGGAGTCTAATTTTTGTGAATTCTTTTGATTCCTCCCCCTCTCTGCTTTCCTACCCCTAATTCCCTCTCGTCCGTTGATGAACAAGCAGTTGTCGTTTTTTTGCATGTTTCACTTTTTTTTTCCCTTGGCATCTCCTCAGTTTCGTTCGCTCGTCGCAGAAGCGGTCGTGTCGTTTGCTAAAACTCAAGAAGGCGTATAGATTTCGTTGCATCCGCTAGTTCCGACAATTCTCTTTGTGTGTTCTCTCGTTTCCCGTGTCCGGCAGTGTTGTCAAAATTCCGGCAGCACCGCTGTGTTCCAGCTGCCATTGCTGTACTATCTGGCGTTCAATCGCAGCATTCGTAAATACGATTCTATTTGGTGATTATTCTTTTTATCGTTGTCGTTCTCGTCGCCGTGGGAACAATGGAGATGTCACATTGTTGAGAATCACGCGTAAAACATGCTCGCAGAACATACATAGCGAGTGATTCTACCTTTAGCTCCAGACGCCGGTTCTGTGCGAGCTAACCTTCATAGTGAAGGTACCTTTTATTTGATCATTGTTTATCGGGCTTGAAGCAGTGGTGCAGATTGACAGAACGATGAAGTGGCTCGGTGCGAGTAGCGCTGGTGCTGCGGGTGAACCGGCACCTTCTATGCAATTGCACCATCCTTCCGCGAATGGACATATACCCACGGTATGCATTTACTCCAATTTTCTTCTTTTTTTTTCTTTCGTTTTAGTTTTCTACTTCGCAATTAGCACACCGTGCAAAACGATACAACAAGACAATGTTTCACTCGCGATCGCAATGTCATAACCTATTATTTCATGTATCTTATAACTAAAATATCATATTTCGCACATTAATGTAGGAATTTACTATTGGACATTTTCCAATTTTATTTGTTATATCGTTGTCTAATGTAAAAGGTTTTATTCAATAAAGCATGGGGAAATAGTTGTTTTCATTGTTCATACATTAGAGTATTGCATATGCTTATGCTTTGTTTAACCCATTATGGCAGAATATTATATAGAAATGAAGATGTTTTAATTATATTCATCAACTTGTTTACTTCTACGAAACAGGAGTGATTTTGCTAATTTTAATGTTGATACATATCTTGATATAAAAAAAATTTCATTTTTTACGTGTCTATTAATTTCTTTATAATGTACGTATAAAAGTATTAATGTATATAGGTTTAGAAATATTCTGATATAATAAGTGATTAAACAGTTGTTGCATTCTTGATAATTTCATAATGAAAACTTTAATAAATGTGGTATAACAATCTTTATTTGTGTATAAGCTAATAAACAATGATATAATTTTTTATTTTAAGTTTGTATCTATTTAAATGTATTGATAAAAGCTAATAGTTATTTTATACATATATATTAATAAACAAGTTTTAAAGTAATAAAATAAATGTTTATTAATAGGATACAGAACAATGTGGACAAGTGATGGCTGGTGGAGATAGTATGCGTATACAACCTGGTCAAACACATCAAATTGGTGTGAATAGAACTCAAGATGATGCTATGGTGGGTTATGTATTTCAACGTCCTACAGAAGCAGAATTTAATGCTCAGTCTTCAACTTTCCAAACGAAACAGGCACCACGTGCCTGGGCTCTTGCAGATGATGCTATTATTGATAATGTAAGTAAACAAAACATTTTTAAAATCAGAATATGTTATATACTCTGTTGCAAAAGCAAAAGGAAATTTGTACTTTGATACTCCAAAAGATAGTTTCATATATAAATGGCATATTTGCTACTTTCATTTGATTGCAAGTTAAATGATTTATAGAATCCAGAAAAATGGAAATATCCCATTACTAAACTGAGTGTACCACAGAATCAACCGCAACAATTGGGTCTGCAAACTATGAACAATGTTCACCTACCTTATGAAATCCATCCAATGCAACTTAAAGTAAGTAATTTTAATAGCTTAATATTAAGATTAATAGAAAAAATATTATTCCTTATCTTTATACTAATTGCTACATCTTTTATTGTTGTACAGAGTGGAGCACCAGGGGCAGAGCATTTGGTTTATCTTAATAATCAAATGACAGCACAGCAACAAGTTGCCCTCTTTCATCATCAACAGCAACAGCAACAACAACAGTTTAGAAATGGCCAGGTAAGTGTAATTCTTATTTTAAGAACTATTTTTGAAGCTTGAAAGTAATTATAATATATAGAATTAGAAAAAAGGAATTAGAATTATAAAATTTATTGAGTGTTTGAAATTATTCTTATTGAATGAAATGAAGATATTAGTGACTTTATAATAACATATGTATCTATGCATCTATGATATATATACCATGCAATAACCAGCACATTGAAATACATATTTCCTCTTTCATTGTCTGTTCTATTGCCAATTAATTAATTTGATTGAAATAGAGATCATTTTGTTCATGATATGGCAAAATTTCAATTTCTGAATACACCAAATATAAAAAAATTTTCCACATTTTTATCATAAATATTGCAAAATCTGCAATATCAGTGATATTTAAATATCTTCAGATTACATGAGCAAAGTTAATGAAAGAGACAGATCATAGACTTATTTAAAACACTACAAAGTTTATTTAGATCTTATCTCAAAAAAAAAATCATATCTTTTTCGTTTCTGATAATTTAATAATTATACATTGTTGTCTATAATTTCGTATTGTTGCTTATTATCTTTCAATATAAGTAACACCATCCCATTCAATGTACTACTAATTTAATTGGAGATCTGACTGATATTGTAGTTTATAATCGATTAAATAGAAAATTCAGTCGATGTGATTTTCTCTACAAAATAGTGGTAGGGCCAAAATTTGATAATTCAAGCCACGATTTTTAATTGCGAAAAGTAATCGAAATATAGACTTGTATTTTAAGGAAACGTGCATTTTTTAAATATTTTACTATACTTTTTAATATTTGTAATCAAACATCATACTTAAAATAGGAAATATTTGTTCGTAATTGTGACAATACAAACTATCATTTTCCCAATTTTTCCTTTATGTGATTTATGTGATTTAATTCGTTTTCTTCTCGTTCGAGTTTATTTTCGTAAAAATATAACTGACATCAGCGGCTTTCGATGAAATGATAAATTGTATCACAAATTTTTTCTAATTAGCACATTACTCTTCTTAAATAAATCAAACATAGAAAATGAAGGGAAGTGCTTTATTTTCTCATTTTCTTTAAATGCGTTATACCTTGAGAATAATCTGTGTTATCCAAATAAAAGAAATAGTTGATTTTTCATCCTGAAGACCGTATGAACACCGCAGTAAAAATAATTTTCGAAAATTTGCGAATGTATGTATATCATATATTTTTGTAATATATTGGAGTAATATTGCCCTCCGTTTCGTAACGCTAATACTTAGGCCAGGTGAATTTGCTAAACACGATCAAATTTTCATCCGGTCTTCGTGAGAGGTCGTGCAAAATAAGGAAGGCGATGATTGGTCAGTATCGTTCGTAAAGCAAAAAGTGACTGTAAAAGTACTCGGTAGAGGGCATTCCGTTCGAGCGTCGTTCTTTGTTTCGGTTAAGAGGGCAGTCTCTATCGAAGAGAGAGGCCGGTTAACGAAAATTTGAAGCGAGTCGAGACAAGTAGAGAACGTCGTGACGCCGAGCGTTGTTTTAACGCCCGATAACGACGCGTCCCACGATATGTCACGACGGACGTGAATTTTGGGCAAGAACATACAATCGACTTACTACTCCCCCTGTAAATAAACGCGTATTCGCGGAGTGAGTGTGCAAAGTGCGCGAGAGGAGAAAGGAGGTGGAGGAGGTGGCGGCGGTGGCGGCGGCGGTGGCGGAGGAGGCGGAGGAGGAGGAAGAGGACGAGGAAGAAGAGAGGAGCATAGGTAGCAGTGGCAGCATCGAGGCACCCGAGGTGTCGAACTGTTTGACAGGCGGCCGAACGCTTTTCTTTCTCTCTCACACTCCCGTCCGTGGTGCCGCGATTTGTATTGTTTAGAGGCGGTGTGGTGTGCTCCGTTTACGAGAGGTTTATCCGTGTTCACAGAGGAAAAACGAACGTGAAAACAATCGGGAGTGGTGTGTACTCAGTGCTGGCTGAATCGGCGTCCGCGCCCCGACGCCGCCGTTTGACGTACGATTTGCTGATTTTTCAACAACGTATCCTCAACACTCGACGAATCTTCTCCAAGATAGCCTCGTCTATCGGATAGTGCGTGCTAAAGAGTGTGTGTTCGATTTTTCGTTCGCATTGTTGGTGTACTACGGGGTTAACGGTGAATCTCTCGAAGGTGACGCGCCGTGCCGAGGGTACCTTGGAGACGGTGGAGAGTTTCGGTGTAGGGTACGGCCAGGGAGCAGGCACGAGTACAGGCGACTGGATGAAACCACCGGGGGATCTTTTCCTTTACTGCGACATGAAGGATTTGGGGGCCGACATGGTATTTATTTCAGTACAATCTTACTTCTCTCCTTTGAAGCTTCCTTTCAAGTTTCACTTTTCTTCCGTGCGACACGAGTCGCCGAACATTGCTAATTTATAGGTTATGTTTCGAAGAGTTTTATTCTACAATGAAAACCTCCATGTTTATAGAGCCACAGGGGGGGGGGGGCTCAATTCGTTTGTACGAATCGTCGATATTACTTGTGTATTGTATTTAACCAAAATAAGAGGTGTTATTTATCATAATTCAAACTTGTCTTGACAAGTTTGAAAACTTCGCATAATCACTGTGGTATTTTATAACCTTCCGGATACTCATTTTACGCATAATGAATGTAAGAATACCGTGTGTATTTTTATCTTGTTTTTGTGTTGTGTTTTCGTTCAGCCTATTTTCGGTAAAAGAAATAATTCAGTTAGTGCTATTAAATAATCATAACTTTTTATGTTTACAATATTTTAATATTGTATAGTTAGTAATCTGAGTATTAGAGTATTTTGTGTTTACATTACTTGACAGATTGAAAACGTTTATTTATTAAAAATTGGTACAATTATATTTCAATTGTTATTTATGCAAATTAATTATAGTGGTAAGTTTATATTTGTGAGACTATCGTTCAAAAACAAAGAAGTATTTTATTATACTATTAAGTTTAATGTTATTTTCAAGTGCGTTTTGAATTTTTTGCGAAACAGTTGATAACTTTTGTCAAAAATGTTTTATTCATTGTTGATATAGTTGCTGCAGCTTGCAAACAACATTCTTGCTTATTATTTAAATAGTAGTTAGATAGTTTTAGAATTGAAACAATAAATTAATAATTGCATTGTGCTATCATTGTGAAAGCACTTTTATATATTGTGATGTGTCAAATTATATCAATATCAGTGTTCATTTCGTTCTGTATTGATCCTAGGTTGTTTACTAGGCAAGTAACGTAACAATTAGAATTTTTCGAAACAGAAATGAATTTGATGACCGTCATCATAAACATTATAGAAAAATGATGGATAATCTGAACCTCAAGCAGAGATATATTCGTACGAACATGCTCTTAAACAGAGATATCCAACAGTTACTCAGCCAATCAGGTCTCCGAACTCGCTTAACCTTGTAATATATCATCGAATCCATTAGTATTGCCTTATACCTTAACGACAAAATGATGGCAAGTTTTCGAGCCGTATCACTTCAACCGAAATTAGAATTCAAACGTTTGGATTTTGATCGATCGTGTTATAAAACGCCATTAAAAATTCAGGACAGTGTCTCAATGACAGTGAAAAAGGAGGTGGGGACACGTTTCTCAACGTGTGAAAGCTATAAATGTGGATCCATGGAGCGCTGCCGGGCTCTACGGTTTTAACCATAGAAAAAATGTGTATCTAGACATCCAAGTTGAATCCTTGCAGAGTGCTCTGCTCCTTCGATCCTTTATTGGTTCGTTCCTTTATTGTTTACATCCTCGAACTTTGTCTATGGTAAAACTCCGCTTGGAGTTCGGAGTTCTGTCTTTCCTCCCTTTCTTTCTCTTCTTTCCTTGCGCTCTCTGTCTTGCTTTTACACGTTAGCCGTCAAAGCGGTGGTACAGGGAGAATGTTCGCGTTGTTTTAGGTTAATGTACTTTCGCACGAACTGAATGTTTCACGCGGTGTGGAATGGTATTGTATAATATTAAAAACGTGTTTTATCGTCTCTCGGAGGAGCTGCTCGTTTTGATCCTATTCTCGATTAGTTTGTACTTTTTACATTGTCGTTAGACTGTGAATACCGTATTTTTGTCGGTGGATTTTTTTGTAAAGGGAGCCATATTGTTTGGACCGATGCCATTTAAATTTATACGGCTTTATATTTTACATGTTTCCCCTTGCTCGTGGTTTCCCCTTTGGGTGCACCTAATCGATTGAAACATTGTCAGGGTCCTCTCTGGACTGTCGTGACACATGTGAATGGTGCGTATACCGAAAAACTCAATGGAAATTTTTCACTGTAACCATCGCCGTTCATGGTTTTAGAGTTCGGTGATGCAAGTCCAACGATGTCTCACCAATTCAGTCATTTAATTGTGAAACTCACGGATATAGTTATTCGCAATTGTTTTGTACATTTTCGAAATGTGTTTTCCATTATGTATCGTAGCCCAGTTTTTTGCCAACCTTTTCAGTCGATTCTTTATGCTGACGGCGAATTTTGTCACGTCGAATGTTTTTATTTGGCTTATCGACTGAGATACCGGTTCGAGAAAATTCCCCTCGAAACCGTGTGCATTAACGATGCCGCATTGACAAAGTCGTAAAAGATAAAATACATTTATCCGTGAGCCAGATGCATCGTACCGCGCTACTCTTGCACCAATATAAACGGCAAATGTGCCTGGAGGTGATATTGATTTGCGTGAGTCACTCTATCTCTTCTAGTGGGTTCGAGGTTCAGGGTTGACCCTACTCGCCGCGAAATATTTTCAATTGGTCTCATCATTTGGATTGTCACGCTCTCGATTGTAGACACACGTGAAATTCGTGTAGTCCGATTGTAGAAAGCGCTTGTAAGAAAATTACACGCGAAAGGTTTTGTGATGTAGGACGTTCCGAAGAAAGTCGGTGGTATAATCCTCGTGGATTATGGATGCGTACACCATAAAGTATTATACATAATGTTGCAACATAAAAATATCGGGTTGTCACCTCGTTGCAACGAACTTTCTCTTCTCTCTGGGCAACAGTAACACAGATAGTTATGCAGTGAACGCCCACGGTTCGCAAGCCTCTTCACGATAATCGTTACACAAGATCAGTGTCGCTCTTTGATTATGTTGCAGCCGTGCTTATCTGTAACTCTTGCCGTAAAAAATAATAATCTTTTTAAATGGACTCAATCGGATTTAAAACCGATCTCCATTTTGTCCTAGTCGTCAAATTATCTGTTTTCTTTCTTTCTTATCGGAATTCTCTTTTTGGAGTCACGTTTCTCGAATCACGCTTTCGTCTAGACGTGATATTTTCTCCTGGAACGCAGGAATTCCCGGGAAAAGTATACAACTGCCGACAAAATATTCGGACTTGAATCACGGCCAACATTATGGTTGACTACGCTGACCGGTAAAGACAGGACTTGTAAGAAACAACTCCTACGCGCACGCGTTATCGTATTCTATTCGCGATAAAAGAAGAGTGAAACCAGTTTCCGGTTTCTTAAGTGACGTCAGACGCCTCTTGAAAGAAATGTTCGACCCCTCTATTCGAGAGGGATATAAGAGATAATCCATTTTCCTGAAATTCGCGATACATCGAAATGGGAAGATCGTCGAGAGGAATATTTATTGGCATTGGTTTATATGTCAACGAACTTCTGCAAAGCATCATCGAAAATCGATAGTTTGTTGATTGGAATATCGGAGCGAAACAGCTAGCATCCTTGTTATTATTTAGAAGCAATAGATAAGGAAGCATAGTTGCGTCTACTAATCGTTTCGGTATCGATCATATTTCTTTGTTCTTTCTTATCCGTATTCAGAATAATTTATACTTGTGCATTTTTAAACTTAAAATACATCGGGTATCAATTCTATAAAATTTTTGTCGTACGTATGTATACATTACGTATGGAATAATTTTTGACATATTTTTAGAGTGACTTGACTTCACGAATATGTAATAGTACGCGAGTTCTCACACTAATAGTCGGTGTAATCGTCTTCTATCATGTAATCGGTTTTCTCTAATTCTATACTTTCACTTGGTAGAACTTGAAGCCTGGATCAAAAGATTTTCGTGAAATCTTTATTCGTAAACTCGATTTTCTTCTCTCGACATTCATCCGGACAAAAGTCGATCGAGCTTCCGCTGCTCCCTTCGTTCGTTAGGGATGAATGTGTTCGGATTGTGGAAAATGGTATCTTGCAAATTCGAACGTAACTCGGGAGGCAATTCAGCTTGGCCAGCGTTGGATGTGAACTTTTCTAGTGTTTCTTTCGAGTCGTACGAGCACGGTTGTTACCTCGCCGCATAGTATTCCCTCGTTTATGCCGTAAAGTGACGTATCGCGTCGTGACTTGTAGTGACGTGACGCGCATGTCGTTGAACCTAAACGTATCGGTTACGCTTGCAGATTCGTCATCGGGAATAGCAATGTGTAGTATAACGAAGATGGAGAAATTTATTTTCATGCGTATTTTTCACACGGCCATGACTAATACATTTGCTCATATTTTGCAACATACATCCACTTATAGTATATATATTTCATTCGCCGCGATTACGCGTCGTATTTGTTTCTCTAAAATTTCCAAGAGCCATACGCGAAAGAGAAAAAGTTGCTCCGATCACTACATCCTAAACTAGCATAGCGATGGCACTGACTGTGAAGTGTTCGTTTCTTGTAAATTAAAGCCGGGACAACAAAATGCAAAAACCACCCCTATCGCGCGTTCTTCCTTAGTACGTGTCTACTGCGCACGCATTTAGCTCACGCAGGCGCATGCACACGCACACGCACAAACTATCGGAGAAAGAGTCGAAAAGGGGTAGAGAAAGGAGATCGAGGGAGAGATGAAGAAAGAGAGAGAACAACAGGGTTCGCCTCCCTCGTGCTGCTGATTCTCCGCGAGGACAGTGGCCGTGACCCGAGGCCGAGGGGCCTGGGGAGGGGTCGGTGGCCCCGTGGCAGTTTAGCGACGACATCCACGCTGCCGTTCTTTTGGGGGGGGGGGGGGGGGAGCGAGAACCTCGTGGGTGTGCGGGGTGGGTAGGGAGAGAAGTTGGAACGGCGGCCCATATGGAGGGGGTTAGCTCCGCGGACGTATGGTGGGGCATAGCTTAGGGGTATAGCGAGCTATCGTTGGCTTTGTTCAATGAAAGAGAGATCCAGTATTCTTTCGTCTCGTCTCATTCTCTGTTTCTTTTTTGCACTTTCTATCCCTGTTTCTTTCATCTGATATACCACCGTCTCGTTCTCTCGCTCGTTCACCCTCGTTTTTTCGCTTCTTCGCGATCCTCCCTCCAACGCAGTTGCGGCCAACGTGCAAAAGTGCTTCTGCTGCTGCTGCTGCTGCTGGTGGTGGTGGTGCTGGTGCTGCTGCTGCTGCTAGCCGGTTCGAATGGATAAAACGATATCGTCCTTGTCTAGCGAACGAGAGACGACGACCAAGGCACATCTTCTTCCCTTCTTTTCTCGGTCCTCTTTTATCCCCCTTTTCCCTGTCTTCTCTGTCTTCGTTGAACGTGCAAAAGTTTTCGCTGACCGGTTTCAGGAGACTGAATGCTACCGTTTTCGCTCTGCTAACGAACGGGAACTCAAATCAACGGGAATTATTATTTTCCCTTATTTGTTTTCTATTCTGAATCGTATGCCTCTTCGTTTACAACCTAATGCACCTGCGATGCGCAGAGGGGGGGGGGGATCCATCGTAGTACAGGAACTATAGAGAATCGCAAGAGAATCGAGAAGCCTCTCTCGGAAGTTTCTCGATGGTGGAACGGGAAAATTCGCGATGGGATTTCCTCTTGCTCGTTCATTCGCTTTTCGACCTCTTCCCCGTCTCTTTCTCCCTGTAGTCGTGCTTAACGTGCAAAAGCGTCTCTGCCGGCCGGCGACGCGGTCGATACTCACGGCGTATCGCCCCCGGTTGACCGAGCCTTACCCTTACCTTACCTCACCGAACCTTTAGACGTATCCTCCGTTCACTATTCTACTCTCTGCAGCTTCGATTCGCATCCCATTCGTGTGCGTTAAGAAGAACCTCACTGTGGCCGCTGTATAATATCGCGAATTCGCTGTTCGTGTTGCAGAGAAGAACGATGGGGATCGCCGACGTGCCCAGCTGGCTCGAGCACATTTTCCTGGTATATAAATGGTCTATGTTTTAGGACGTTACGAAATTAACGAAAAATTGTAAATCTGCACGATTGGAGGAAAATACATCGGAGCTAGAATAGAGATGAATTTATTGTGTGACGTGTAGTGTGACAAAGATTCTTCAGCCACTCTCAAACTTTGATTTTCATTACTTTTGCGGTCGCGCCTGTACGTCAAGGAAGATGTATCGCGTGACGGCACGTGTCGCGCAATCTCAGAAATCAACGACGTAACTTGAATGCGTCCTCGGCCAAGCAGTGAGTGCGTTCGAACGTCATCGATGCGTACGAATCGAGAACGTTGCTCGCAAAGTTCTCTCGGAGGGATATTTTAACCACCATGTTGCGGTCAGCAGTACCGTGTTATAAAAGAGGGAGAGAGAAAGAGAGAGAAAATTGTGATCCGGTGAAACGGCACGAAATAAGATTGGGAAAAAAAATTGTGCCGTAAGTAATGCAAATGAAGATTCTCGCTTTCCAGTTTGATACGCGCGAATCATCGACTTGTGCTCTTTCGTTCGACGTTTTCTCCCGTGGGATTTCTAACCGGTTTCTAAACTAGTACAACACGTTTGAATCTTTCCCTCAGTTTCCTTTTATCCGCCGATTTGACGAACTAGGTGAAAAGACATGTGCACGAGTCTCGTCGGGGAGTCAGGCCTCGGAATTTTATTGCAGACGCTTGAAAACTCTCGCCTAGATATGTATATCTCATTCGCGTGACCCTTTCAGACGTTCCTCTGTCGATACATTTGTTTCTTTTTGGTACGCTTGTACGCAGAACGATACACAGCGTGAAATTGATAACGATTAATTTGTTACAAAGGACACGTGCTATTAACACGCTGACAGAAGCACGGTCGCTAACGATAAACAGCGTCGTTTGATATTTCGTGGTTTTATGTATTCGAGCTGTTATACCCACTCGGTGAGTGACGCACGTGCTATTGTACGTGGTATCGTTTGCTTGATCAATAAAATATAAATATCGCGCGTGTGTCTTCTTCACCGTAGAAACCCGTGAAATCTCGAAATCTTCCTCGTATTCCCACGTTTCTTTTTCCCTCTCCCCCCATTTCCATGCGTCTCGATGAATCACGTCAGTTGGTTGGAGGACTCGCGACGTACGCGTCTCCTCGACACACCGATTAAATAATCTGGCGCAACGCGCGATTCGCCCGAACGAGTGTGAAACGTTTGCTCGGGAGCATCGTCGATGCGGTAACGTTGCGATACCACGCGTTGCGCGTGTGTACACCCGATCCCCCTGATATCGTTTTACAAACTACCACGTGCATCGGAATCGAATTCATCGAGCCACGCAATTCGCGATACTTGTAAACCTCGCGCACAACTGCCGCAGCTCGTTAACAAACACGGCGGACGGATTTTACGTCGGTTTCTTTACTTCGAACGTTTCAATGAAAGCCTCGCGTTATACGAGCAAATTAATTGACTTGGTTGATAACGATCGTTTACTTTACGAGAGGTTAAACGCTATTTATATATATTCCAGCAGTCGACTTGAGAACGTTTTAGAAAGCGGAGTTAATAGCGACGAGTGATTCGTATACGTCAGCGATAAAAGTGAAACGATAACTGTATGCTTAATGACCTAATCCAATAAGAGAGAGAGAGAGAGAGAGAGAGAGAGAGAGAGAGAGAGAGAGAGAGAGAGATCTAAACATAGCAGAAGAAAGATGGAGATTTTGGGGAATCGAGTCGTTGACGTCCTGACGATAAGTGGGAGAAAGAAGGTGAAAAGAAGAGACTTGAGAGACTAGGCTTCAGATGAATCGAAATCCATCCCAGCTGTCTTGGTACTTTCATTTAACGATCTTCGGATCCGGTGACGATGTGGACGAAAATGCATTGAAACGTAGCGGCACTCTTGAGCTGCACTGTCACCATCGCACGTGCAGTATACCTGCATCTAGGATCCCGCAATCTGTGGACGATGCTTCCCTCCATCCCCACTGCTTCTCCTGGTTACGTCACTGACCTCCAGTTAGGTGAGGTCGGGAACAGTGCAAGCAGAGTTCAGGTCACGACGGAACGTAACGACTCTTCTCGGTTTTCGATTCGAATCTTCCTTTTCGGATCTTCTTCGATTGCAATTACCTTTTCGCGCCAAACTGCGTGACTTTCGACCGACTTGCCTGGTCAATGAAAAGAACAATGTCGATGTTTGCTCGACAAGGAACTAAAGTCCACATTCCCGCTACAAAGTTTGTACAGAATTTTCTTGATACTTTGCTAGGGATAGTACACGTTCGTTTAATCGAAAATGAAAGTTTCGATCTTTATGAAAAAAGGGGAACGTGTAGACTGGTCTCCTGGAACAAAAGGTATTTACCAGTTTCTTGTGCCATTAATACAGAATGCGTTAACGAGCTCCGATGATCACCATCGTTGTACGTGATAGATACGTTAATTTTAAGCGGATCTCGATAGTTGGTTAGTGCAATTAATACGATCGTTCTCGTTTGTATCTTTGCACGAACCGCTATCACTCGGGCCTCGTGGGAGCTTTCGTGTGATAGCACACCGCCGGATATGAAAATGTGTTCACTGACCCCGTGGACTTACGACCTGTTTTCTGTTATTGTTTCAGATCGCTCCCTCAGCAAAAAAGCTTTGGGGCGTGGACGAGGGCGGCTCCAAGGACGAAGGGGGTGTAAAAGGCGGTGGGATACTTCACCTGGGCGACCACCAGATGTGGCGAGATTCCACTTGGAGCACCTCAGGTACGATTGCTGATCGGACAACTTTTAAAATCCGTACGAATCCGATAACGTGTACATCCGTCGTGTACCTACCGTGTCTCGTAATTATACCGGGTCCTATTATTTTCAATGAAACGCACGCGGAAACCGTCGGCTCGCTCATTGACTAACCGCAGAGAGTACACACTGCCGGCTCGTGCTATCGAGCGTACTGACACGTATCAATGACAATAGGGCTGAGAATATTTGGAATAGAGTTTCGAGATGGGGATAATCTATGAACGGGGTTAATCGGAATCGATAATTCATGTATGGCAGCAGGCATTAACGGCTTCCGACCACACTTTGTAGGCCCGCAGCATCCGTCGCTTATCTGTTCTACATGCCCTTTGAAAAAAACTCACGACGACCTTTTGTCGCGTTCGTTAATTGTTGCCCATTAATAACCGAGTATCTGCGGCTTTCGTTCAGTCGGAGTTTGAATGATGACCTAGCCCGACCTAGCCTCGGCTGATACATAAAGACAGACTTTAATCTCGGCCCGGCGTTCATGCGTTTCCGGCGTTCGTCCAAGCCCTTTAAATCCCTCGAAATGTCCTGGCTCCCCTCTCCGGCCCCTCGTTTTCCTTCAGACACGGATACAAGCGTGCGAATTCTGATCGATATGGATTCGGTCGACTTGGTACTTGCGGTTAATCGTTACATAATCCTAAGGGTAAGTCGGTTGCGCGTGCTAATTTCTTCTCTAAGAAGAAAGCCGTGTGTCGTTAAGAAAGGAACGAGATCGCGTTGCGTGAGTCAGCCAACCGATGGATCACGGTGCGCTGCATTTGGTGCCTGTTTGAGAAATGTTTATCGCGGTAAGGAATATTTGCTATGATTTGTAGAACATTCGTGTCTTTTCTTTTCTTTTTCTTGTTTTTTCTTCTCGCGAAAGTTTCGATCGTGTAACGCGTGAATCTCGGCCATTTTATGCCCAACGATCGTTCCTCGCGAGTATATCGATAGCAATTCAGAAGATATCGAGCTTATTAGGTATTCGAGCATTGGCTTCTTCTCTGTAACCGTAGTTAATAAGAGCAACGGCACCGTTCCACTGGCTTCTTTGGTATTAGCACCTTTGCTAATACTATAGAGTAATTTGTTCGGTATGAAGAAACAGCTTTTTCCAGTTCTGTTTTTATTCGGGAATAAATGAACAGCACGTAAATCTTCGGAGATTAATACTGCGTCTTTTCCTCATTGGGAAATACGCGACGAGCCCGACGATCGTTGAAGGTCCTCGCCGATTGACGTAAGAAATACCTCGAACGTTAGACACACACGGTAAAATTCGGGAGACGGATGAATCATATCGAAAAGTCATAGTTAGAGAGGGCGAACGTCAGAAACTCGTCGTCCATGGTGCCCAGGGTACAACGTGATGCGAGCGATACCGCGTGTTTTACGTCGTGCGCGATTATTGATTGGTACAGCGCCGAAAGAACAATATATAGAGACGAAAGTAGAAATACTTGTGTCTCCGCAGCTTCGAGCGGAATGTCAATAATCGATACCCTTACCAAAACAGATCCTCCCCCTCCCCCCTCCCCCCTCCGACTGTTTGCTTTTACGAAAACCAAAGGAAATCCACGAAGTTGTTCCCTGTTCCTCTCTCTTTCCCTTTACTTTTACGATCAATCGATACTCCAGGCCAGGGCTTCTGGCATTTTCGCGAACGTGCACGAACTTCCCTATCTCTTTGCAGCCTCGGCAACCATTTCGAACATCTCCGCTCGTTACCATCTCTAATCCAAAACGAGTCCCCCGCCGTCCTCTTCCCTTCCGGTTGGATATTTCGATTTCCTTCCGGTTATTTCGTAGCCGTTTCATGTTGTTGGAAATCATCAGAATTTCTCGTCAATTAAACGGATTACCGCGGTAATTGGTCCAGGGAGAGGAAAAGAGGTGGGAATAGTGAAAGAGAGAGAGAGAGAGAGAGGAGGGAGGAAAGAAAGAAGGGAGGGAGGGAGAGAGAGAGAGAGATAGAGAAACGGAAAGAGGTTGCGCAAGATTTTTTCTCATTAAACGGAGCCTTAAGTCGTACGGGGTTGTTGCGCGAGGGCGATGGTACCGTGGCGGCGGTGTTGTGTGTGCAGTGTATGCACGAAACACCTGATTCTCGCGACGGCATGTACCGGCTTCCATGTGCACGCGGGCCGAGTTTGCATGTGTGCGTCACCTCGATGGGTGCAACGCGGCTGTTGCCATGGCGACAGACGCCCGGCATCAGCGGCGGTGGGAGCAACGTCCCAATGCCCAGGGTCGTACCTAGTGATCCACCCTGAGCGCCAGCACACCAACCAACCAACCCCCTGTATACATATATCCACCTGGACCCGACGAAAGTGCGTCACATGGAATCGTAAAATTCATACAGTCCACTGGAATCCCGGCGAACCTTTTCTCCTCGCAACGTATGAATTCGTTCTTTCGTCTGTTTTTTCTTTTCTTTTTTTTTTTTCTCTTCCGACGATCATCGTCTCGAAACCCTTTAAATCAAAATGGTCCCTGGGCTGGAAAGCCAACGATACACACTCGAGAGCCAACTGTTAAGGATTTTTATGATAGAATTTCCGTTACACCTTTGCGGGTTTCTCGCTCTCCACGCCTTTTATCGATTGCCGGTTGATACGACACGAGCACGATACGGTTTCGGGATATTGTTAACGTTTCCTTTTGGAATCCGTTGAATTTCGGTTTCAAGCCTTCGGGTAGCCAGCTTTCTTTTAATACTCGATGCTTAAGTAGCCCCGTATTGAAGAGAGTTTTTATGAGATGTTACGCGTTATCGAGTCCGCCGGTTCATACTGAAGGATAACGGAATATTGAATATCTGTCTTACAGACGAACTGTGATAGTAATTTCTCGATGGGGATGGATGTTGATTGAAATATGCGTCATCGTGGAATCGTGATTAATGGCATTTTTCATCCATTTCAGATCATGCCGTCTCGCAACCAATTTCCATGGGCACCGGCAGGCGTGTGGGTGTCGGGACTGGATATCATCATCAAACATCAGAAGTTGGGACGGTTCTTAGCCCCAGAAGCAGGTTAGTGTATAATTTAAGTATTAAAATGAACAAGACGTTTGTAATTTTTCCACTTATTGAATTGTTTTGTTTTGCAGTGAAACTGGTGGTCTGGGGGTTAAAATGGTCGAGTATGTTCTTGGATCGAGTCCTACGACACCCAAAGATTTGGAACCCAGAATGGTTTCTCTGAGATTGGTAAGCATATGGACGAAATGAAAATATCGAACGAAACAAAAACATATCTGATTTTATTAAAGCATATCTTTTGTTTTCGTTGAACACAGAACACCGATGCAGATAAGAAAGAAAAAGAGAAGGGCTCGGCAAGTCCTTTTGACAGTTCTAAGGACGACACAGGTCCGCAAAACAATGGATTAGCATCTCAAAATGGTCTTGATGATGATAAAGGATTTAAGTGAGTATCAGTTACCGTGAGATGCATCAATTATCGTATTGTATAAAATGTAAAAGGATGTACAGATATTTATACTACGACAGCGTAAAGAAATGGAGATTGTTGTTTATTAGGCGCAATCTATGATAAATTTAGGTTTCCCGTTAATGATTCTGGGGGGAAAAAAGGTGCTGCTATTCTTGTACAGCTATGTATAATTGCTTTCAATTGAACCATAGTAAATGTGTCACGCGTTGTTCATGAACAATTGCTATTGCTACGAGAAGTACGATTTAGGAACAATTATCAAGGACGATGTATGTTCTACTCGGCGGACGATGACATCATAAGCTTGTCACACCGGTGTTTGTTGTGCCATCATTGTACGCCATCTGGTGTTCCGTTTGTTCCTCATCTACTCAATGTTACCGACATCCATGCGATTTAAACTGCATCATTGTGATTTCTTTGTTTGGTTAAATAACAACACCATTCTTAATTTATTTATTCCTTCATTTTTAATTAAGTAAATTATATTGTATATTCAAAAAACTATAAATCATCGTTAGAAACATTTTTTTCATCAATCTCTGCTCCACTGTATTGGAAATCGAAATTAATTAGATACTAAAATAGAACATTGAGATTAATAAATACAGAAAAAAGTATTAGAACTTGTCTTGCCGGTTTTGTTTAAGAATTTCATTACGGTATGGTAATATTTGCTCATTATTATGTGATAAAAACAGTCTTCCTGTTTCCATTTCTCACAAGACCAAAGATACAGGTCTTTAAATGTAAATTATATTGTATCATTATATGAATTGTACCATTACGTTGTATCGCTAATTTATTGTAATTAATAATTCTTGTATGACAAATTCATAAAGATCATAAATTCATAAAGATCTTTCAAACATTAATTAGTCAACATAAGCACAGTACTTGATATTTTGTATAATCAATAGTCTATAAATGATATTTAATTTGTCATAGAAAAGAGCGAGACAAGCTTATTTCGTAAGAAATTAATTACAATTTTCTAACTGTTTCAACTATCAAGTTAATAGATTGCTATCAGAATGTGCAAACCCACTTAGAATCAGGTCCATGACATTTACAACTACAATGTTATAACGGTCAAGGAAAGCTGCGTCACTTTCTTTATATAGAAAATAAGAACAACAGTCTAGTAGTATTACGTTGCACAATCGCTTTCTCACCGTTAAAGACTTGGATTTACAAGAAATTCAAATTTTCATTTTAAATTCTTGCTAGAAACTCAAATTTAAATCGTCAAATTCTTCACGAAGGGTTGAAATTCATTGCTCGATCAGACATTTCATCGCGAAAAGAAAACATCTGGCATTATCGATGCACAAATATGTGGTTATAAACAACTTTTCCATGCACGTTACAGTGCACGTTGATTCGTGAGTTGATTTACGCATCCTTTATTTTCGTACGTATACTCAGTGAAAACAGTTTATATTTCCGCATATCTTCGTTGAACACATTGTACTCTACTGCGTTATCGTCGGTTGCTTTCAATCGGAATGAATCAGCGAAATGCGTGAAATAGGGCATGAAGAGATGAAAAGTATTTGGTTCCACGAACTCCAAAGACAGTTGCATAATCTGTTCATCTTTGCTTCTTTCTGATTCTCGTAACAAAACGGAGTTACGGTTAATTGTGATAGTGTATTGCGGTCGTGCCTGTTTGGTTAATAGCTGACTGCTATTTGTACGCGACAATTATTACCATTGTTCGCAAAATATTATCCACTGTATGAATAATCTCTTTCGCTGAAAGAACGTATCGTTTAATGCCGTCTTTCGTCTTTCATTTGCAGTCGTACACCCGGGAGTCGCCAACCCTCACCAGGCGAGGAAGAATTTCAGAAGAACGCAGCAACGACTCTCGTGAGTGCCGGCGGCGGCGGAGTCGTGTTGCTGAAACCTGGTGTCGATGTGGTTGGAAGCGAGGAGCATTTCATGGCCGCTTTTGCACCGGCTCCGCCGCATCATCTACAGCATCATCAAGCTCCGCCGACGCATCATCTGCAACACCCACACTCACACGCAGCGCAGCTCTTTGGTGCACAGGCTCCGCCACCCCCACAGGGTCCGCCACCTTCCCAGCAACAGCAACAGCAACAGGGACCCCCGCAGCCACAAGACACTACCACTCACTTTGATGTTCAGGTAAGTCTCGACCTTATTGTTCCCCTTCTTTGATTCAACGAGACGAACTCGGAGAAAAGAATATTTCCTTCTCGGAGGAACGCGAGGAGGCACGAGACGGTACGCGCATAATATGAGGATTAATGAACGAGCAAGAGCACGTCCTTTCGTCTTTGCGATTTCATCGTGCAAGCGAAAATTTACCTGGCCAGTGATGTTCACTTATCGGTCGATTGTTGTTCTTGGAACAGTTGGGAATGGTTCTAACGGATTATCAGAAGCTTGTTCTAGTTTCGTACTAGTTCGTAGAATATTTTGGCGTAACGATTAATAAATTACAAACGCACTCGTGAATTGTGAAAGCAATCGGATCAGTTTAGACGCTCTACATAGACGACAGACGTTTGCTGATTATTATCAAAGGCTGTTTGATCAAGTAGCTCGACGAAGCTCGTGCATTAACCGATTAAGACGGGTATCAGTACACTTCCGTTATACGTTACCTAAATTAAATGTTTCAACGAGATGCTTCGCTACGACAGAAAATATTTGACTTTTGATGTTCTCTCTTTTGTTTCGTCACTCATGTAGAAAAGTATGTTAATTACGTATTTGTAACTGTTGCAATAGTTTCATTACTCAACGAATATGGCCGTGGAATATACCGTAGGTTTGATTTCGTAAACGTCGTTGTTTGTTAATATCACGCGTTGAAGCAGTTCTATTTGGTTTGGTCGATCTTGGAACTCGGAAAAATCCATAATATAATAGTTTTAGAACGACTATGAGTATTTAAAGTCTGTAGAAGGTCGTTGCTACCGGCGTTAATTTAGCGATTGTGGTGACTAGGAAGAGGTTATTTTTAAGCAGCAATCAGCTGATACTAACGAGCGGTCCAACCACTGAGCAACCCTCTTGTACGGGTTCTCGACGGACTTCCTTCGCTTTTGAAGTCGTGTTTCATTCGAACGAACTTGCCTGTCGAGGGGTGAAGATAGAAGCGGGTAACAATAGAACGGCCGAAATAGTTTGCACGATTTACTAGCATTTTCATCGAAATCATCGATGAATTGTTAGCCGCGTACCGACTGCATAATGAACGTATAGAACGGACGTTTATTTCATCGATAATATGGTGACTTGGCAAACCGTTGACATTTACGAGTTGACAAATTCCTTTCTGTAGAAGATACGATGGCACTCTAAAGCGAATGTAAAAACAGCTCAACGATACGAGAAACCTTTGAAATTCCAAATGTTATTTGTTCTTCGTGTTTTTTTTTTTTTTTTTTTTTTTTTAGAGCATGGCCAGCAGAAAAAAATAGACGTGTCACTTTTCGTGCTTACGTCACGTTGGTTGGAAGCTCATTTTCTGGATCTTTCTCATTAGTGGTCATTTGTTTCTTTAATATATTTTCGATGTACGTGCTCGTTTTATATTCTATCTGTCTCGTCATCCAGATGATTTACATCATAGTTGTTCCGTTAAAAACATCAAGATATGGTTATAGCTTGCGTAATTTTGAAGATAAGTTCCGCTCCAATAAGTTAACTAGACACGCTCGTAGCATCCTGCCGCAAACTTGGCTTCGAGATGCGACCAACGATCGAATCTTTCCACTCTCGACAACCTTGGCTAGTTCTATCCTTGAGAATCTAGCCTCGTAGAATACACATAGCTGCCTTTTCTTTTTTCTTTCTCTTTTTTTTTCTTCTCTTCTATTTCGCTCAGCGAAAAAGACTCTCCCCTCTCTCCTTCGGTATTGGAACTCGGTATGACCTGACAGGCTTAAGAGACACGTAGAAGGGGGAGAATGGAGAACGATCTCGTCCTCCGGCAGGGACAAATGTATAAATCACGGAGTGACAAGTTCTCGACATCTACTTCGAATCCTATTCAGAAAATAGAACAGACGGTATATAGCACTCCCAGCACATATTCATATTTATGCACGTTACACTGCACGTCCGAACGTTATATCGGCGAAATGCATCAATGTGCCTTTCGTTGTGAAAGCTTCTACCAATATCCAGTAATTTCGTGTTACATAGCTGCCAGTGCATTTAATCTTCACTGCAATTTTATACTCTATATCGATGTGATTATAAAATGTTACGTTATTACTTGTACAAAATATATATATATATACATACTCGGACGGAATATTCCTTTTGGAGTGATTCCTCGACAGTACATCGTTTCGTTTAATTTAACGTTCCCGGACAACGTGGTCATCGGAGTTCGAAAGCGGTCGATTTGAAATTGGAACGGAGACCGGAAGTGGAGGACATCGAACGCGTATACCATTCTCGTCGACGTCTCGTTTCAAGTGTAGGTCTGCTTAAGCAAGTAGCGTGGTCTACGTTCCACATTCTTCGCTGTTTACGGCAAACCGTTTCTTTCTATTCCAGAGTGTATAGCTCTAGTCCGGTTGCGGTGTATTCCCGCTCCTCTTTCGAACGAGAGACTCAATTGAATGCTTCGGCGACGTGCGACGGGAACGTGAAACGCCGCTTTTAAAGACAGAATTTTTGTAAGAAAATCGATAATTCCATTCCGCAGACGTGTGACGAGCGGGTAGGTACCTCTTTGTACGAAATGCCCGCGGTAGGTTTCTCTGAGCGCGCAGCTCGGTTGAGGGGTGCTGCCACTCGAGAGTGTAAGCGTTTGGATAAGGAATTTGTTCAAGGGTTAACGCATAACTCGAGTTTTTTTTTCTTTTTTTTCCTTTTTTTTTTTTTTGTTTCGCGCGATTCACACCGGTGTTTGTTAAGAAAGTCTGCAGTGAACGTACAATTCTGCTTGGAAAAGAGGAAATCGCAAATGAAAGGGGGGGAAAAATGCGGTGTACAAGACCTCGGGTCGTCCAACTTGTTTCCCGCCCCCCGTCGTATCCCCGTCTCGCTTTTTCTCTCTGTGGCTCTGTTACTCCGGTGGCGTGGCGTAGCGTGGCGCGCGCGCGAGCGAGCTCCACGTTCACCTCTGCTCTCCTACGGGAAATAGTACCCATCGTAGGTAGCATTGTTCCCAGGGTAGTAGGGGCCGTAGCTGCATTTTCCACGTGACGAACGAACCGCGTATGCACAGGTGCAGCTTGACTGCCATGGCTCCTGTAATCTCTTTCTTCCTTGCACGCGTTCGTTCTACCTTTTCGTTTCCACACGCCTCGATGAAAACGCAAAATGTCGCACAAAGCGTGCATCGAGCGCGGTTGCACGCGGTCGCCGAGCAGGAGAGAGAGAGAGAAAAAAATTGCAAACGCGCAACGCGACTTGTATTTCGCCAACGAATTCGTTATAATTTTTTTTCTTCCCTCCTTTCTTTCTTTTTTTTTTTTCCTCTCTCCGCTCCTCTATCCCGGTTTCCCTTCCGCAATTAGTGCCGCATTATACGTCAAACCGGATTCCGCCGGTGGTTGTCGTATTAATTAACACGGAGCGCGCCATCCGTCTGGCGTATGGTGGTCGCATTTCAACGATTTTCATCGGACGTCGCGAGTTCAGACGCACACGCGAGTTTATACCCCTCCCCCGAGTCACCACCCTATTGCCGAGTATTCGGCGACACGCCGAATATTCGCTGCCCCGCCACTTCACCATTGTCCATACGTTTCGTTGACCCTTCCTTTCGCCGTGTTTCGCGAATAATTTCCAACCGCGCCTTAGCCTGTGGTTCTTCACGACGTGTAACACACATAAAAATAGAACGCTCGTGCTGCTCGTGAGCGTATTACGCTGGCGTTTATGCACGCGTGCTTGCCTTCGGAGCACGAGAGAGCGTGTGCGATGGTACGAGAGAAGTGCGTGCACGCATGAGACACGGCTGCCCTCTGATCGCGTTATTACGCGAAGGCTCGTGCTCGCCGGTGCATGAAGCGATTCCCAGACCTCGTCTCCTTCCTCCCCTTCTCTCTACATTTTGCTCCCTAGCTTCTCTCTCTCTTTCTTTCTCTCTCTCTCTCGCTCTGTCGCTCTCTGCACGGTCTTCGCGTCTTCCTTTTCTTGTGCTCCACTCCACGAGCTTTCTCGTTTTTCCTTCTTCATCTTATTCAGACACCCCTCCCCCTCGCCTCCTAGATTCGCTGGCTCTCTTTCCTTCGTTTTAGCTCTTCTTTAGCCGTACGTAGTTCTCTTCTTGTGATCACGCGAAAAGCAGGAAGAGGAGCACAAGAAAAGAGAGAGAGAGAAAAAGCGGGAGAAACCCTTTAAAGGTGTGCACACGTATACAGACCAGGCAAACACGTAGACAGGCATCGGGTTGTTGACTCGGTGCCCATTCAGCATAAAGTGCAATGACTTCCTCCGATGAAAATCTGTATCATCGCCCGAAGGCCTTCGCTCTTCGGGGTAAGACACGACGTTTCTCGCCATCGTTGTAGTTCCGGTCAGAAATTCAGAGCCACTGTCCTATTCCCAGTGGCCTTCTTTGTTACGGAATATCGAGTTTTGCGGCAGCTTCGTTTTTCAACCTTCCAGCTAGCCGCGTTTCCGTTTTAAACGCTTTACGGTTCCTTTGACGAACTGACAAATATGCACGCGAGAGCCACCCTATCCAGCTATTGTTGTTACCGAGCCATACCTCTCCACCGTGGCTGCTGCTGCTGCTGAAGCTGCTGAAGAAGTCGATACGATTGTTTGGACCCCGAAATTCTCCGTGAGCAGAACGAGTTTCTTCTCCATATCTCTCTCTCTCTCTCTCTCTCTCTCTCTCTCTCTCTCTCTCTCTCTCTCTCTCTCTCTCTCTCTCTCTCTCTGTCTGTGTCCATCAAACGTTCGAATTTTATGCGGAGTTACAGCCAAACGATGTTTGCTCCGTTAGCTTTTAAATATCAGGTCGTCCTGATTTCAATCGGATCTCACGTTGTTGGTATAGATTCCTCGGGATGCATTTTCTGGCCAGCGAGTCAGTTTCGTTGTTTCACTGTTAGTACAGCTTTGCAAATGATCGCTAGCGCGGCCACAAATTGCCTGACGATATCGCCGAACAAGCCAAGTGCTTGTCACTCATTCGACGATATTTT